ACAGCTGGAGGCTGTTCACCATTGTCATCCAGCTGCATCTAACACAGATGCAGAAGAGGCCTTCAGCTGGGGAAGCATGTGAGGGGGTGCACACACAGAGCCGCCCACTTCCCTAGAGAGGGATGCCCCCCTGCCTCCTAAGGACTAAATGCAGAACATTCTCTCACCTCAGACTGCTTCTGGCATCAGGGTGAACTCATCTTATCTGCACATCTAGGACAATTCTCACTGGGCAGATGGCTCTGTCCGGCCCTCACAGAGGGGTCATTCCACCCCAGGGGCTGAGGAAGCAGAGTGTGGGGCCTAAGTCTGAGGGAGGAAGGAGGGCGATTCCTTAGCCCTATGTAAAAACATCACACCCAGTGCTCTGGCTCACTGACCTCTGACGCTCCAGAACATGAAGCTAATTTGGACAAATGCCCAGACAGTCTGTCCCTCCTCCACATCTTTGAAATGCATAACGCATCTCAAAGCTCAGAATCAAAGCAGGATGCTGACTACTCTTAATTTTCAATGATATACTCAGATGGCCATAAGCTATAAAGCTACCAAATACAGAAATCTAAATCTACTATTATTTTTTTCTAGAACTCTAGAAAGGCAAATCTCAATTCCTTGTGCTGAGGCTTCATGGGGATTTCACGCATAATCAATATCCAAAGAAGGTCCTTAGACTCAGGCAGGTTGAAAGACAAATGATCCATTTCTACGTAACTAATCTGATGTAACTGTTCCTCAAAACTGTAGGGCCTGGAAAGAATAGTAGGTAAAGCGAAGCCCCCAGCAGACGTGACGTGAAGTAAAGTGGGTTCCCAGTATCAGAAGAATCATGGGAAGGTGGAGGTCTACAGCCGCAGAGCGAAGGGCGCCTGTTTCATTAATTAAAGGCGAGGGCACTCCTGGCGAGGGCCGAAGCCGGGCGCCCACTGTCTCCAGGGCGCCGCCTCTTAGTTTGCTTTGGTTTAGTCCCCTCGGCCTCTGCATACTATTGGGGAACCACAGAGACAGAGCGACTTTCTCCTTCTCCCCAGCCACACGGTGGGAGCATGTATACCAGGCTTCCAATGAGATCCTGGATCCTGCTCTGGTTTACCTCCTTAGGATTTGCTTGACCCACCTGCCTTTCCCCCTCGTGGATCAATTATACGTCTGCAGGGTGAAACCTACTAGTGTCTTTCCTGATTCACCATTAACAGCAGCCAAGCCGTTAATGTGACTATGTAGAGGTGCCAAGTTCTGAGCTGAGCAAACTTACACGATTAGTGAATTCTCACAGCAGCTCTATGAGTGAGGAAGTATCGTGAACCTGTCTCAGTGACAAACAGCTGTGGGTTCAAGCCTTAGCTCATGAGACAGGTTCACAGAAGTTAGGCAGCAGCTAAGGCTTGAACCCACAGCTGTTTGTCACTGAAGCCTATGTTCTACCACTTACTGAGGACGCCAATGTGTTTAACTCCAAACCTTCGAAGGCAGTTCCTGCTGGTTGCAGGAGGCTGGGGTTACTTGAAGGTCATCCAAAACTTCAAAGGCTATATGCAGTTTAGGAGGTGGTAGACAAGACTCTAGTGTTACATGGTCACCCCCTGACCCCTGAATCCCTCACTCTGTTGGCTTTAGAAATCTCTAACCGGTTGTCCATCAGAGATTCTTGTTCCATGTCAGGTACAAATATGCACGTGAGAAATGCTTCTCAAAGACAATTCCCTTTGACCTAATGGCTATAAGCCTTTGCTTACCCTTTTCTTTCCCCAGCACTTATCATTGCTAATAATGAGAAGCTAAATGGACTAGAATCTTAAAATGCACTGTTATTCATTGCTGGTGAAATTAGAAGACAAAAATCCCAATCTGTTGTTAAATTTATACATTCGATGTCTTTCGCAGTGACGCTTTTCCAAGGATGGGGCAAGAGTGGACACAGCCTGTCCCGGCTGGGTGCCCCAGGATGCTAACCTGTGCGTAGATGTTCTTTGTACCACATTAACTGCCACCGCTGTGGTCTGCAGAGGGCCTGCTGACCGTTTTGAAACAAGGCCCAGCAATAGCCTGCGTTTTAGAAATAAAATATAGGAATAGTGAAAAGTCAAAAGTCAAGCAGAAGTATGGAGGCATATTAGCAGGGAAGTAAGTGGCTAGTGACATGCTAGGCTGCTAGCTTGAAAGACGAGAAGATACAGGCTTTACCCTGCAGTAGGATGGGAGCCTGTCATACATATATAGGCCAGGTAGAGGGGGCCAAATATTAGATACCAAATAAACTACGGAGACAAGTATGGGGAGTCCTGAACCTTCCTTTCCATATTTTTGGCTACAAAGATGAAGCGATAAAGAGAGTGAAAGTTGACAGGCTCTAAGATTCATGGTGGTGCTGTTTTAAGTACCAAGGACTTAAGAATAAAATGTGTGGGTGCAACATGAGTTATTAGAGAAACTTCTTACATCTACAAAACCAGGAAAGTTACCCAATTTCTAGATTCTCTAGAGAGTAAAGCTACTTAATCGTTCTCAAAGTTAGAAAGATTTATACCAAAGAAGGCATGTGATTTATTTCTATAATAAAAAAGTATTTTAAAAGATGTCTTTGTTTTTCAAAAATACAGATACAACTAGCAAAAGTATCTGTGACAGCTGTGAAAACATTCGATTGCCAACGAAGGCATTTTTCTCTCTTTCACCACAGCTGTTCGGTTCAGGGCAAGGTTTATTTTCCTCTCCTACTAAGCTCCCAGATCAAAAATTCTGGGTTCTAAATGACAGAACATCGCCCTTGAATTTTCTTGAGTAGGCTGCCACCATGTGGTGACCGCTAAAAAAAGCACCTAAGTTTGAGTGTAATTGACAGACCACACTCCTGAGCTGTCTGAAAACAAGAAAAGAATTAAATATCTTTGATCCACTCGCCACTCAAACATTGTAAGTCTCAGACCAGAGGCCTGTCTTCTCTGGTTTCATTCACATGTGACAACGGAGGAATGTGTACTTTTAGATTTCATTCTGCACTAATTTACTGTACTTCGTGTGCTGTTAACTGCACTTTGCTTGAAATGTGTGGACTGTGTTGTTATTTTTTGAAATGAAAAAACTTTATCAACTATTTCAGACATGAAAATATAAAAGAAGACTATAGCACATCTGGATATCCCACCCGTTGCCCAGTTTAAGAAAAAAAGACATGACGATTACAAGTGAATGTCCCCAAGTCTCCCTTCTCCCCTACATCCACATCTTTGTCTCTGCCAAACGTTTCTGATTTATTTGGTTCACAGTTCTCATTCATTTCTTTATACTTTCACTTTAATGTGTATGTGGCCCTAAAAATTTATACTTATAGATTTGCTTTTAGACTTCATATAAATGGTGTTTATGAAATGAAATATATCCTTCCGCGATATCCTTGTTTTTTTCAATGAATGCTGTTTTAAAAAATTCTTCCACGTTGATATTTATAGCTCTAGTTTTCTTTCAAAATTATCTTGTTTTTGTCCTTGTGCTTCCTTATTAATTTTAGCATCATCTTGTCATAGTCTACATAACAATATTATGTCAGGATTTTGATTCAAATCCATAGATTAATTTTGGGAGTATTAGTATCTTTAAGATATTGAGTCTTCTTGTCTATGAACATGGTATTCCTGCTTTATTTGGGTCTTAATGAGCTTCATCAAAATTATATAATTTCTTACAAAAGATCAGATATGACTTTTGTTAAATTTATTCCTAGGTGCCTTATATTCTCATTGATATTGGAAATTGTTTTTAAAAATTTAATTTTCTAACTGTGGGTGTGCTGTTTAAAAATACAATTGGTTTTTGCATGTTCCTTTTATACCCAAGAACCAAGCTTAACTCTTATTAATTTTCATATTTTTAAATATGCACTTTTTATATAGATAACTATATCATCTAGTTTGGTATTTTCTTTCCCAATCATAAAATTTTCTTTCTTTCTTTATATTGCTGCTAGAAATTCCCATATAGTGCTGGTAAGGAGTACTGATAACAGGCATCCTTGTCTTTCCTAATTTTAAAAGAAATGTTTCTAATATTTCCCTCTTAGATGAGATACCTGCTATAACTTTCATAGATGTTTTTATTGAATTAAGGAATTCCCTTAAATTCCTAGTCTAAGAAGTTTTCTAAAGAAATATCAGAAAGGACACTAGATTTTATCAAATGACTTTTCTTCATCTACTATAATGAGTATAGTTTTTAATCTGATAACATGAATTACATTAATGGATATTCTGAAGTTAACTCACCTTTGCAATCCTACAATAAGCCCGACCTGGTGTTGGATTCGGTTTTCTAATATTTTGCTAATAATTATTTCATCTGTATTCATAAGTGAAATTGGTCTGTAACTGCCCTTTAGCATCTTGTCCTTGCCTGGCTTGGGCACTAATAAAATGAGTTAGGAAGTGTTCTCTTTTTCTCTATTCTCTGGAGAAAAGATTATGCTCTGTTCTTTGACTGTGATAGAACTAATTTGTAAAACTTCCGATTGCCTTTTTTGTTTGCTTGTTTGGTGGGCAGATTGATTCAACGTCTTTGATGTATATAAGTCTATTCAATTTTACTTAAATCCATTTTGCAAGTACGTTTTCTAGGAAAGTCTTTTCGTACCAATTTTCAAATGTGACAGCTGAAAGTTGTTCATATTTCCTGTTTTAAAAAATAATTTTTGTTTCTGTGGTTATGTACCCTTGTTTGTTCTTAACATTGCCGGCGTTCTCTTTTTGTCTTGATTATTTTGGCTAATGGTGTGTCTATTTTGCTAGACTTTTCCAAGAACCAACTTTTGGCTTTATTGATAATCTCTCATACATATATATTTTTTTCTATTTTATTAACCTGTGCTCTTTATTGTTTTCATCTTTTGAGATCTTCTGCTGATCTTTCTCCAACTTCTTACATTAAATGCTCAGCCTATACATTTCCATCCCTTCTCCTTTTCGAACATAAGCATTTAAGCTCACGTTCCGCACAGGGATAAGGCTTACCTTGCTTTGAAGCTGAGGTGTTTTCCACTGGGAGCTCATTGTCATGGACCCTTTTCTCTGGAACAGGCATTGCAGGGCAGCTTCCAGAGACCCATGGGCTCCTACTATCAAGATCTTCTTTCCATCTAAGTTGACACCTGCTCACCAAACAGAAATCGATATTACAACCAAAACATCCTCCCATACAGCTTTATCCTAAGGAAAAATAGCCTTTTAAGACCTGGCCCTCTGAACACCAGCCTACAGTGACTATCAGCCGTGATCTCCTCTCTATTTTTTTTGATGGAACAGTGACCGCGAATCATTACTCTGATAACCCATATGATGGAAAAACTGTCTATTCGGATTATCTCAGAGATTTGAGCTTAATGGCTTATCCCTAAAGGTGTGTCTTGAAAGTTAATCTTCCAATAGAACTCTGGTATAAATTTTGGAATTTTCGTGTGATTGTTGCTTGTTCAGGTCGGGGTGGGGGTAGCGGTATTTGCTTCTTTTTTTTTACTCAAGTTGGAGTTGAGAAAAATTTAGTTAGTTGAATTTTTATGTACTCAGCTAGAAAACCCTTAACCATATGAAATGCTCAGTAGTAATTTACTCATTAACTTTAATAACAAAGAAAAAGAAATTATTCACTTCTATGTCACTGACATAGAAGTACCAGGTCAAAGGGAGAATGATGGAAATTAAATACTGATTTCTCAAGGAGATACTGCTCACTGATAAATCCCAATCTAGGTTTTTATACCTAAATTATATCTATCAGCTTCCTCATTTAAGACTTAAATATAAATGGTTTTCTAGGTCTACATATGAAACTTGAAACATTTTTCATTGTGGTTATTTTGACTATTTTCAAGAGAGAAGATGAGAATTTGTTGAAAACGGGTTAATCATTCATCTTTAACAATTTCTATTTTAAACTGTAATACAGTTAACCTTATTAGAAAAATCTGCTGTAGTCATTCATATCTCCCAAAAGATGATAAAAATAAAGTTTACACTGATTACCACTTCCATGTTTCAATTAGAATCTTGACATTCTAGAAACAAATCTTAATTAAAAGATAATGTAAATGTAAAAAAAAAAAAGAAAATTGCAGCATTTCTGAAGGAGCATCATACCTGACTTTTCAAGAAGTTCAATTACAGCTCTGGCCACAGGTGAAACAAAACATTCGTGGGCATCCCCACGAACCAGCTTCCCCAGGTTTATATCTGTTACTCTGAAAGCAAAAATAAGGCAACTGGTAAGTCAAAACTGGGTCAAAATTCACTCATTGGCAACTTACATGAATTAATTTGAAATAATATCCAAGTCAGTGTTGGACAGGTAGGATATATTAAGTTATTAAACGTAAAATAAAGAATGGGCAAGAATAAAAGCCATTAGCTTCTTAGAGCAGCCCCTAAGGAAATTTGGCTGTGGTCCTGTGAGTCAGGATGGGTGATCTGGCTCCGCACTATAAAATGTAACTTCCTTAAAAAAAATTTAAAGAACCCGTAAGCTCTCGAAATATTATATGATATTTAAATGATATTAAATTTTAAATGATGTTGAATATTAAAATAATTTCTTTCCTTTCTTAATTACTGACATAGTTGACATAGTAGAATAAAAAAAAAATCACAGCAGAAAACTCGTTTAGCAATTAGAGTTGATTATTTTCTTTTATCTTTTCTCACCCATCCACATCCTTTTCTGGCTTCAAGGCATTGAGGACTTTGTTGCTAAATGAGTTCTCGGAGATCTGAAGGGCAAGGCCATGTACTCTGGTGTCTTCATTAATCTTCAAGATTTCATCTATAATCTAGGAAGGAAAGACAACTAAAATGTATTTTGCCGAAATAAGACCCAACATAAGAAGTTTTATATAAAAAACAGATTCATAAAAATGCATCTGTTAGAGTTTCTTTTTTACTCCTTGTTAAAGACTTGGTGTGAAGCACGAGGAAGAAGTCTATTTTCTCTTTTCACCATGTTGATAAAAGCTCAAGAAAAAGGCTTGGCTGAATTTTTTTTTTTAGTGACTTCTCAGTCTTTCTTATCGCTCTACTCTCTGCCAGAACAGAACAGAACAAAACCAAAGCTCAAGACTTAATAAAGTTAAGACAGACAAAAGACATTCACTGTCCACGATCATGTTTAAGCCAAGCAGACTGCCAACTGTCCAGGAACGCCAGGAAGCATGACTCTCAGGCACTGCACCTGGCCCGGCCAAGCCAGTGTTTCAAACACGGTATGTTCAGAAAAACCTTACTAACCATGACAACCAAGAAGTCGTCACACAGGCCCTCGTGGTCTGTGGATCTGAACGGCACACAGAAAGTGTTTCCAAAGGTTTGTGATAGAAAAACTCTAAATACAGATATCTCCTTTGTATAGGAAACACTAAAATAATTCACTGTTTATGAAAAAGACCAAAGTTCAGTTTGGGAAACTAATGTAATAGCTAATGAATGGCTAAGTATGGCTTTAAATAAGAAATATTCTGTCCTTTTTCTGTTTACCTCTATTTTATGCCAGGTGAGAAAAGATTCATTTCCCTTAATATTGTTTGTTCCTAAATAAGAGAGGTACTAGCCTGTGACATGGATCTCACTATGAGGAAGGGTTGGTTTACCATTTTCATTTCACCGTCTAGCAGAAATCACTACGCCATGAGAAGAAAAAGCTTTTTGATGTACAAACTTCAGAAAAAAAAATTTAATCTCATCCATCCATCCATCCTTCCTTCTTTCATTTATTCAATAAATGTTGAGTGTTTTGAGCACCTACTGTGACCAGTACTAAATAAAGGAAATAGAATAGTAAAGAAAATATTCCCGCCCTCATGGAGCTTATATTCTAGTGGAGAAGACCACCAATACCATCACGACTAACAACAACAATAATAATACTATAACCTTTGAAAATGATAAATGATGTAAAGAAAATTAGAACCAGGTAAACAGGGTAAACAGCTGACAGGGTGATGGCAGGTGAGGAGGCTAGTCAGAGCACGTGACCTGTAAATAGCGCCCAGAATGATGAAGGCACTACTGTTACATGTAACTAGGATGTGGTAGAAGCGGCAACAACGAAAGCTTAATGAATTCAGATCTTCACTCTTTTCCAACATGATAACACCACGCAAATTCACATTTATCGAAATTTCAAAGAAAAACAGGATATCAATGACTCCTTATCAAAAAAATAAGTCACGGAAAAAAAAGTCAAGGGCTAACAATACTAGTGGCAAAACAACCTAAGAAATGCAAATTCGACTGCAGACAATGGGTGTCCTTCTGCAAATGGACAACAGATTTCTCTGCTTTTCGTTAATACTGGTACAACAGGTGTCAATATTTGTAATATATTACAGTGGCAAATGTGGCAGAAACTTTTTGCCCAATAACCAGTTTCCCTTCTTACTTAGTAACAAACTCTTGAGTTTTATCTGTGATGAGTGATCTAAGATCACCTGGTGTAAAGACTCCATTTCCCAGCTTCCCTTGCATCGTAGCCAAGCAGTTAGGTTCAGGCCAGTGGAATGGAAGCAGAATTGTGACTTCCAGGAAAGGTCTCCGAAAAGAAGAGACTGGGGGCCTGTGTTTGGCTTCTGGCCTTCCTTTTTCTTGCTGGTGATAAGAACTTTTTGAACTGAGCCCCATGACCCTGAAAATAGGGCCAGTTAAGAATCTCCCCACCCTCTGTGTACTGCAAAGAGCCACATTCCCTGGTTGACTTAGTTAAGACTCACTGATACTGCCTTATCTACCCAAGATAAGGCCAGACTCAGATGCTACAAATTCCCATTTTTTTTTTTTTTTGGTCTCATAAATGATTAGCTGAACTACTTGTCCCCACTGATCAATCCAAACAAAACGCCTGTTAATCACAGGTCCCTAAACTTTGGCTTACTCTCATTCCGGTGAACAGACAAGCCCCTTCTGAGAACAGGCTGGCCTCGGGCACAACGTTCGCTGATCTGCTATCTCATCCAGCTGCCATTTCATCCCATTTTCTCGGAGTTGAGTTCTTTCTACCCTTCTCTATCCTTTGTAGGGAAGAAAAACCCTTTTGGCTAATATCATTGGCATGTGGGTCTACGAGTGCTTTCCTTATCGCAATAGTCCTTTTCCCCACCTTGCAATAATCCTTTTCACTTACATCTCTCCTTAGTAGGTCTGGGTTTGTTTTTTTTATTTGACACTGGATAAAATGTGGATGTGACATGTAGAGTTGAATCTGCCATCGTGGATATGAGGTAGCAGACAAAGATGGCTGAGCGGCAAGGTCAGAGGAGCCTGAGTTTCTAATGACTTTGCGATGTCATTACGCCAGCCAGGGACAGGCTGCTTCCAAATTTTATTCTTGTACAAGAAAAATGAACTTCTGTGTTATTTCAGATTCAGCTGTCTGAGGTTTTCTATCACTGAAAGTCAAACCAGATTTTCACTGCCACAGCCAGTCTGAAGACAAGCTGGCCAGGAACCCACGGCCTGGGGTCCAGTTCCCTCACCACGACTTACAGGGGTGGCCGCTTCCCTCTGGCTTGCGATGACCCTAGTGAAGGCTGCCATTCCTGAGGGCAGGAACAACTAAATCACATGTGACAGCAGCTAAAGAATCCTAAGGGTCTTTTTTATCAGCTGCCCCAAAACATGACCCAAGGATTTACAGAATATTATCCCCGGAAAGGATCCTGAAGATTATCTCATCCTATTCGATTGATAAGGCAACCCAGAGAAGCCAAAGGAACTGCCGGCGGGCAAACAATCTGTCAGGACAGAGCAAAACCAGAACTAATCCTCCAGACGCTGCTGCTGACAGCCAGACCATTTTTACGAGATGACGCTGCTGCTACCACTGAAGAACAACAACCAACAGCACCGCGTCACAGCTCACGCCTTCGACAGAAACATGCAGGAAGGGACAAACAGATCAAGGAGCACGGGCACTAGAGAGAAACGCGAACTCCTCCCTTGAAAAGTTCAGTCAGAAGAAAAGGTTCGATCTGTTTCAGCCACAACTAAGAGATGCTAACGGGTACGTTAGGTCCAAAGAGGAGAGCGAAGCGGGAGTTCTGGTGCGCCGCTGTCATTACCTCGTCCTCGCCGCTCTCTGGAGGAAGGCAAATGTGAGCGATGTTCAGACCAGCCTGCAAAGAGAACACACGGTTATGTTATCGCGGGAAGAGAAAGTATCGACAGAAAAATTAAAACGGAGTTTTGAAAAGCAACGATGCTCACCTCCTCGGCCAAATTCTGATTTACTTCCTGCATCAAGTTATCATCACCTGCCTGAGAAAGGGGAGCGAGGAGAATGTGACAACATAAAAACATCTTGAAAAGGCACAAAACATAATACGGAGACTAATTTTGTGTTTATACGTGATCTAATCACAGAGATGATCGGGAAGATGCAAAAAAAAAAAATAAATCTTATTGCTCATAAACGGGGACCGATGGCTGTGTTTATCCACGCATCGGATTCTCAGTTTTTCAAATTATGTCACTTTTTAAAACTAATAGTCCTCCTAAGGCACAGTTAGGCGCAGAGCCAACATCCCTTTCTAAAAGAGGACACCCAGGCGGAGTCCTAGGAGGTCCAAGTCTCCTGAGTCATTTTTCTTTCCACTCTTCTAGCTGGCCTGTCTTTGTAGGGGATGTGGAGACACCTCCCAAAATGCAAGTAACTGGAGCATAGCTCTAGAGTCTCCAAAACCACAGCGCCGATGGAACTAACACTCCTATTTTGATACATTAAGTCCATGCCAAAAATGACAGTAGCAGCCCAACTGTTGTGCTGTGTTGGTTTACAGGCTTGGCTCGCTGCACGATTTCCCTGCACCTGTCATCACATGGGCGTGCCAAGAAGGATGGCAAACGGTGCCAACTGCAGTTGGGAATGAAGCAGCCGCAGCCAAAAGATGTGCTCGAAACGTGGAAGTACATCTGACATGTAATGGCTTTGGCTCCTCGAACTCAGGCAGGCTTTAAAAGACTTAGCAGTAAGATTACCCAATACCATGTCTCAGCAGCATCTGTCTTCCACAGAGACAAAGGGGAACCTTTCCCCCCTAACACTTTTAAATCAGGATAAGCATTCATGAGCACACATGGACCACAATAAATCCTGTGTAATGGAACTTATGTGAGTGCCAACCTCCTGACCTCTGAAAGCTACCCACATCAAAAGGAGAAAGACTCCTAAACGACATGCTTGGGCGGAGGGGTACCCTAACCTGTAACCCCATGGAAGCAAAATGACCAGAGGAAGGGAAGATGACAGCAGTTCCAGCTGAGCCCTCTCTTCCCGCAGGGGACTGGACCTCTGCATACAATTATCTTCTGAACTGGAAGGTTTCCTAAGATAGCAAGACAGAACCACATTCTCAGCTTACCTGAATAATAGCAAGAACCGGCTTAAAGGCAGGGTTTTTTTCTTGCAATAAACTCAGAACTTCTTTGGAATTCTGAATGACTTCTCTACATTGAGAAAGAAAAACAAGATATCATGTCTTGTTAATGACTAGACAGTGTGGGTACAACAAAGTTCCTCAGAAAGTTTGTTACCGTAAGTGAACATAATTAGACAACACAGGACGTGTCCCAAGTGGAAAGTGCAGAGGAGAGCGGGGAGGATAACAATGAAATTATGAAATACTAATCGTATGAAACATGATAATCCAATTTTAAAAATAAGCAGAGGTAAACCGACTGGATGTTAACAGCAATATTCTAGGGGTGACTTTTTCCTCTTGTATTTTCCAAGGTTACTGTAATAAAGAAGTCTGGATTTCTTTACAAAATAATCTTCTTCCACAACACTCTCCCCCCTTTCTGGAAAAAGAGTTGGGGTCCAGGGAGAAAGCAAACACTGGTGGAGGGAGGGTAGTGAAGACAGGGAGTTGGGAGGAGGCTTGCTCTTGGAAAAGAAACGGTGGCTCAGGACAAATTCCAGGTCCCAGAGTATAAAGAAGGAACAGGAAGGGAGAGAGGGAGGGAAAGCGAAGGAAATGCCGCGGACATGCTGCGATGTGTCAGAATCTGATCCTCTCCCAAAGCCTGTTAGGGAGAGAGCCTCTCGCTCCTCTGGGCCCCACGTTCTGCATGTGGACCTCCCAGAAGTCCCAGTAGGGGCCAACTCCACCTTAGCACCACTGGGGTGCTAGCCCAGAGCGGGCCAGGCCTACGTAAGGTGCGAGTCGGGCTCTCCTTCCGCAGCCCTTCTGAGAAGGGCGATTCCAGAGACCGCCTTCACCACCATCCCAACGAATATTCCCACCTGCATATGACGTTGGCTTTTGTTCCCCTCCCATGATAAAATAGACAAAAAGCTCAGCCAAGGCCCTGCCCACTGTTAAGCTGGGGACCATCTTTAATGTGTGCTAGCTGGATACGATGCTGCCAAATTAAGGCTGCCAGACATTTCGCAGCCTCCCTTGCAGCTAGCTGTGGCCCTGCCAAGGAGTCGGGGAGGCAGTAGCCGATGTTATTAAAAACGACCAATTTAAGTACATCCCTGAATGCGGAGCTTATTTACTAACAACATTCTACATTTCCACTTTCTAACTTCTTGCAAAGGCAGAAGAGCTACCTGTGAATAAATATAGTGAAGATTTCCCAAACGGTCTCTTCCAAAGACAGCCATCACTCTTCCAAGAAACAATGCAAGTTGGAAGCACCAGGGAGGGAGCACTTAGTAAACCACTGCGCTGGCAACGAGCACCTACATTATGTGTAATAGTAAGAGTGGTAACGATAAAGCCGCTAATGAAGGCTTGCAGGACCGGGTACTTCCTGTGAATACCGCCACGCATTTTCCTCTTCGATAACAGAATTCTGAGTTTTAGCTCCACATGGCTATCCAGCTGGAGAGCACATTTCCCAGTCCTGCCTGCACTTCGATGGGGTCATGTGACTAACCTCTGGCCAACAGGTGAGGACTGCCAGAAGGAGAGGAGAAATGAACAGCCAAGAGGAAGGTACACCAGCATCCGGCCCCCTTCCCCTCGTGCTGGTTGGGAGACCCAAACAGCTGCCTATTACCTAGACCTGAGCAGTGAAGACGTATTATAGGACCATCCTTCCTTCCCTGGACTGCTTCCCTCTGGATGACGAAGTCCACAGTTATTTCAGGGTATTTCATTAAAGCAGCCTAGCTTATTTCTTACTTTACACACAGGTCTGATCTGGGAGGAGTTTTAATCTAATCAGGTTAGATTCAATTTAAGGTAGAGAATGAAAGACATATCATTGTTTTACAAACCACTAAGAAAGAAAAAATATGCTGTCAATTAAAGTGTGTCTAATCTTTTCTTAACATAGTGTGAGTCTTAAAAGAACTTTTTAGACCTATTTAGACAATTTTTTCTCATAAACCACTCATCTATGACATGAAAAGGAAAACATACCCCCCCAAAATTGAGATATACCTAAAACTTCTTCACATTCAGGGTCTGACTCTTCCGACTGTTTTGACTGTGAGTCCCTGACGTTGGTCTTTCCCCTCCCATAATATCACTCTCTGTGCCAAAGGTGTTGGTAACGTACCATTTCTTAAGAGAACATCATTTTTGTCCCTGTGGTTTTCATTAAGTTCCTGACATCTACTCTGCATGTTCTTGATTCTACCAGATGTCAATGGAGAGTTGTCACACAAGAACCAGAAATCTCATAAAATGACCCTTCCATGACTTGTCAATGGATATAATGGGGAATATGGTCACCACCAGAAACAACAGGTCACCATGCTTTCGTGGGAGATTCTTTAAGTTTTCTGATACATGTTCATGAAATAAATCAAGAACTAACATACAGAGGTTCCTGGACGTCTACTCCAGGTGACTTCTCAGCTAGGGCCACCTTCCCTTTTTCTCCAAGTCCTGGGGGAATCTCTTGGAGAAAAGTTTTGTTAGATGATGCACGTAAGTCAAAAAGGCACAGTGAGGTGCACAGCTATGGTCAAGTTCCCACAGGTACAGGCAAGAACAAATATACTGTGATTGACAGCTGGCCAACAGTTAAAAGACACAATCAATTGAAAGATAAAGAGCAGTTTTGGAGATATTAAAAATGTGCTTCAGGAGAGTAGATGGTGTAAAGGGGGTCAAATATGTGGCGAAAGAAAGAAATCTAACTATAGGAGGTGAACACATAGTATAAATATAGATATGCCTAACTGTTAAAATGTACAGCAGAAACTTATTGGATTTCCTTAACCAATGTCACCATAAAAATAAATAAATAAATTTTAAAAAATGTGCTTCAGAGAATCACTATAGAAATATCCATGACAATCTTATAAAGTAGTTGATATTATAGTTTCAATTTTGTATAGGGAGAACCGAGATCAAATAGCTTGCCCAAGCTCTCATAGCTATTAGTGGTGGAGTCACATTGCAAAGCAAGGCACCTGTCTCTTAACCATAATCCTATGAAACAGCAGTTCACGGTACAACACTTTCTTCTTCCAGTTTAGAAGGGGAGCTGGAAAACTATAGCCCACCAGCTAAGAATGGCTCTTACATTTTAAATGGTAAAAAAAAAAAAAAAAAAAAAATCAAAATAACAATATTTTGTAGCATGCGAATATATGAAATTCGAATGTCAGTGTCCGTAAATAAAAATTTAAATTTCGTGAATAAAATGTTGTGAGAAAATTTTTTTGCTCTCATGTGAAAGTACCTACATAATATCTATTTTGACTTTTGGTTTGCAAAACCTAAGATATTTGCTATCTAGTCCTTTACAGAAAAAATGTGCCAACCCCTGGGTTAGAATGCTGTAAAAATAGGGTTGCAGCCTCTTCGCTGAAAACCTGCTCCTCCCTTGGCGTGTCCTCTACCTTTTATCTTTCACCGCCCAAATTAAACAGGGCTACAGCCTTCCTTAGAGTGGCCCATTTCCTTCTAAAAGATGCTTTTAATAAATCTTACCTCTCATAAAAAAATGCTGTAAAAATAAATAAAAATAACAGCCAACATTTGTTGAGAGCTTAGTAGCGCCATTCCCTGGCCCAGGCATTTTTTGTTCTCTCACGTAGCCCTTTGCAGTAGACACTGTCATTTTCTCCATTGTAGTGAGGGATTTGAGACTGGCCAGCCTGGTGCAGCAGGATCCTGACTCAGGCACTCCACTGACCATTCTCATCTCTAATCAGTCGTGGCTTTTAATGAAAGAACATGCATGAATAAACCCCAGGAATGACCCAAATTTTGTCATTCATTCGCCAACCACGCCACAAGTCCCTATCCAATACCAGGAACTCTCCAGTAGGAAGAATCTAGCAGTGAGCAAGACAGACAAGGCCCCTGACCTCACCTTTCATTCTAAGTGGAAGAGAAAGACAATAAATGAACAAGAAAGTTTCAGGTAGTGATAAGAGCTATTCAGAAAATAAAACAGGGTGATGCAGCAGTGGTTTCGCCTCCCATACTATCTTCAGCCCCTCGCCCGCCGGTTAAGATGAGTACAGTTGTAAACTAGTTAAAATCTAATGACCGGAAGAGACCTAAAGTAACTACCACATTCAGAGACCACCAGGTGAACGAAACAAAAGGCTCCTTCGGATCATCGTCCACATCATAAAGAGCCTTGGAAACAAAGAGGGGGAAAGGCAATTAGTTTTAGAATGAAGGACAGAAGGAAAAACGAAGAGGATGTCAGTAAATGGAGGTGGTCCTAGTGACGTGGAACTAGGAACCCTAGTTGGGGTGGGGAAGCAGGCAAGGGCTTTCCCGACACCTCCAGGTAAGTCCGAGCGCTTCACCCTCCGCGGTCTAGGTCCCCAGTTAACACACGTCCCTAGGAAGGGCGGGACAAGGTTCGTCCCTCTCCCGCTGAGCGGCCAGGACTGATGACTGGACCGTGGAGAGGTGTGTGGGGGCGGGGCGCGCGCACGTGGCGTCTCCGGTTGGGCGGGGGCCGGCTGGGCCCCGGGTTCCCACAGGTCGCCTCTGGGCGGGCAGAGAACTTGAGAAATACAGCTGCGCCCGGGATTCCTTGCCCACCGTGCGGCGATGCTGGGAACCAGTCAGCCCCGACTTCTCCCGCCGCATCCTGCTTACTATCGGGTGGGCGGGGCTCCACGTTAACTTGCCCAGGAAAAAATGACGTAATTCCAAAACACGCTCGCCCACTCGCAGGAGGTGGCGGCGTTTCGGGAGAGGGCAAACTTCACCCCACAGTGAGCCTCGGGCAACCAGCGTTCCGGAGGCGGAGCCCCTGCCCGGCCAGGC